GGCTGCGGGGGCCAGGAGCGGCCACTGCACTCCAGTCTGGGCGACATAGTGAGACTCCAACTCAAAAAAAAAAAAACAAAAAAGAATGTAGTATAGGCCAGGCATGGTGGGTCACACCTGGAATCCCAGCACTTTGGGAGGCCGAGGTGACAGGATTGCTTGAGATTGGGAGTTTGAGGCCAGCCTGGGTAACACAGTGAGACCTTGACTCTACCAAAAAAAAAAAAGAGATTGCCAAGGGTTGATAGTGTGTGCCTGCAATCCTAGCTACTCAAGAGGCCAAGGCAGGAGGATCACGAGCTCAGGAGGTCCAGGTTTCGGTGAGCCGTGATCATGCCCCTGCACTCTAGTCTGGACAACCGAATGAGAACCCGACTCAAAAAAAAAAAAAAAAAAAAGGAATTGTCTTCTCTGATGTGTGGTTAAAAAAAGAATATATAATGAAGGTGGCATTCCAGTGGAATTAGCATGCAAAACTCATGGGGAATTCAAAGCGTCCTCTGGGGGCGGGGCCAAATGTAAGGCTTCCTTCTCTATTCCTTGCTGGCGGCTGGCCGGGTATGAAGTGGAGGCCCCAGAGGCCCCAGACCCGGGCAGCACCTGGGTCCTGACTCCTGGGCGCCCCCTGCAGGCTGCAGAGAGAGACTGGGAGGAGAAGCGGGCAGCCCTGACCCAGTACAGCGCCAAGGACATCAACCGCCTCCTGGAGGAGACACAGGCGGAGCTGCTCAAGGCCATCCCTGACCTGGACTGTGCGAGCAAGGCCCACCCGGGCCCAGCCCCCACCCCAGACCACAAACCTCCCAAGGCCCCCCATGGCCAGAAGGCAGCCCCCCGAACGGAGCCCAGCGGGAGAAGAGGCTCAGGTATGGGGTTTGTAGAGGCTGCTGGGGGAGGCCCTGGGGAGTGAGGATCTCTGTGGTCGGACTGCCAGAGGGGGGAGGCACCGGGTCGGCTGCCCACCAAAGGGAGACTGAGGCCTGGAAGGACAGGGCGAGCTGGGCTCCATCCAGGGCTTTTCACACTGCCCTGAGAGCTGCTGAGGGGACCACACAGGCAGGGGGAGCAAATCCAGGCAGAGTCACCCGCCTGGGCGCTGCCCTGAGCCAGGCTGTGCCAAGGGCGGACTTTGGTGCTGGTGTTCATATTGATGAGGTTCCCGGCCCCCCGGCCGTGAACTCATGAGGAGGCAGTAGCCCCCTATCCAAAAGTGGCAGTTGCCATTCAACCTTTTATTCCTTCGACACATCCTTGTTAAGCACCCACTGGGTGCTGTGGATAGGGAGACAGGGCTTGCTTTCAAGGAGTTCAAAATTTAATGGGGAGGCCGGGCACGGTGGCTCACGCCTGTAATCCCAGCACTTTGGGAGGCCGAGGCAAGAGGTTTTGCTTGAGTCCAGCAGTTCGAGACCAGCCTGTGTAACATAGTGAGACACCCCCCAGCTCAACTAAAAACTAAAAACTAGCTGGGTGTGGTGGTGCAGGCCGGTAGTCCCGCTACTTGGGAGTCTGCGGCAGAAGGATCGACTGAGCCGAGGAGGTCGAGGCTGAGGTGAGCTGTGATCACGCCTCTTCACTCCAGCCTGGGCAACAGAGTGAGACTCCAACTAAAAAATAAAAGGCCGGACTCAGTGGCTCAGCCTGTAATCCCAGCGCTTTGGGAGGCCGAGATGAGTGGATTGTCTGAGCCCGTGGGTTCATGACCCACCTGGGAAACTTGGCGAGACCTCATCTTTACAATAAATTTAAAAAAAATTAGCTAGGCATGGTAGCGCATGCCTGTAGTTCAGCTACTTAGAAGGCGAAGGCGGAAGGATCGCCGGAGCCCAGGAGGTCGAGGCTGCGGTGGCCGGGAGCAGTCACTGCACTCCAGTCTGGGTGACAGAGTGAGACTCCAACTCAAAAAAAAAAAAAACAAAACAGAGAGGGAGATAACACATTTGTGTTTATCAAGCACATATTGTGTGATAAGAATCATTCCAGATGCTTTTTATGTATTAACCCTTCTCATTGTACAACAACCCCAGGAGGCAAATACAGTAGTTATTCCCATTTTAAGATGAGGACACTAAGACTCAAATTAGTTAAGCCACCTGTCTCAGACCATGCCTGGTGTGTAAGCCAGAAATAGAATGCAGGTATTCAGTGCAGGGGTGGAGGGGAGCCTCGGGGCTGTGCAGTCCTGGGGGAGGTCCTGGGAGGGGACTGTCCACTGGAGTCTCGAAAATTTTCCTGACTGGTGAGAGAGGGCATGCCAGGGAGAGGGAACAGCACATGCAGGTGCCTGGAGGTGTGTGTGGGGGGGGTTGTGGCCCGAACAAGGTCCAAGCCAGGGAGCACCCAGCAGAACTGAGGCTGAGGATTGGCAGGTGCAGGGGTGCTGGGCTAAGGAGCGTGGACGTGGTTTGGGGTGATGAGGAGCCACTGGGGGATCAAAGGCAGGGGAGTGTCATGGTTAGAGTGGGACCAGGCTGAATGAAGAAAGGATGGAGCTGAGGGTGGTGGGAGGAAGTGGGTTAGAGTGGTGCGTTTCCAACTCGAATGTGCATGAATCATCCGGGATCTGAGACACTGCAGACTTGATCGAGCAGCCCAAGGGTAGGGCCTGCACTGCAGTTCTACCAAGCTCCCAGGCACTGCTGATTCTGCTGGTCCGTGGACCACACTTTGGGTAGCAAGTGGCCAGAGTGCTGGAAGAGGAAGAGGACAGGCTTGGGGTCGGTGTGCAGGGGGAGGCAAGAGAAGGAGGAGGGGACCGTGTTCTTTCCTGGTCCTCCCTGGAAGAAGAGGCAAGACTTATCCCCTGGAATTCATATGTAGTGCACTGACCCTGGGGTTGCAGGCCCCCTGACTCTCAGCCCTGGCACCCACAGATGAGCTGACAGTGCCTCGGTACCGCACGGAGAAGCCCTCCAAGTCCCCCCCGCCACCCCCTCCCCGCCGGAGCTTCCCTTCCTCCCATGGTCTGACCACTACACGCACCGGAGAGGTGGTGGTCACCAGCAAAAAAGACTCGGCCTTCATCAAGGTACCGCCCCCACCTTGGGCAGGGGACGGCGGATGGTTTAGTTAGGGGAAAAGTAACCTCTGGAGACCCTCTGGGGCTGGAGAGAGACCTCTCTCTTGGAAGAAGTGGAAAGGAAGGGGGTGGCCAGCAGTGACCTTGTCCTGTTAGCTCGGGGTCCTGGGTGTGTGTGTTTGCCCTGACTCCACTCAGGCCTCTGCCTGTTGGGGAAACCCTGGCTGGGGACCTCGGAGGTGGCAGATAAGATGGAGTAGGTGGGAGGTGGGGCCTGGGAGGTGAGCTGGGACTGGAGGGGGCGGGGCCGGGCCTTGACAGGGTCCCGGGCCTTGCAGAAGGCTGAGTCTGAGGAGCTGGAGGTGCCGAAGCCCCAGGTGAAGCTGCGCCGGGCCGTGTCCGAGGTGGCCCGCCCAGCCTCCACACCACCCATCATGGCCTCCGCCATCAAGGACGAGGACGATGAGGATCGCATCATCGCAGAGCTGGAGGTGGGTCAGGACTCGCCTAGCTCCGAGGCCTCAGCCAGGCCCCTTGCCCTGAAAAGGGGGCAGGACTAGGCAGCATTGGACTCAGGCTCCCCACCGAGTACGCAGGCATCTTCCTCCATTTCTTCTCCACTGAAAAGGGAGGGGAGTCTACGTCTCTCCTTGATGGTTTGAGGTTTTGTTTTTTTTTTTTTGCGTTGGAGTCTCACTCTGTTGCCCAGGCTAGAGTGCAGTCTTGATTTGCTGGGTTCAGGCGATCCGTCCACCTCAGCCTTCTAAGTAACTGGAACTCAGCCTTCTAAGTAACTGGAACTACAGGCATGTACCACCATACCTGGCTAATTTTTTGATTTATTATAGAGACGAGGTCTCACCAACTTGCCCAGGCAATCCTCTCACCTCTGCCTCCCAAAGTGCTGGGATTACAGGTGTGAGCCACTGCGCCCGGCTGTTTTTTTACTATAGTCAATGAGACCACTTCCAAGTAGCCCAAACCCTCTATGCTCTGAAAGCCTCATTCTTGGGGATTATTATTATTTTGAGTCTCACTCTGTCACCCAGGCTAGAGTACAGTGGCGCAATCACAGCCTCACCACCACAGAGGCTCACCCTGTCGCCTTGAACTCCTGGGCTCAGGCAACCCTTCCGCTTCAGCCTTTCGAGTAGCTGGGACTACAGGTGCATGCCACCACACCTGGGCAATTTTTAAATTTATTGTAGAGGTGAGGTCTCCCTGTGTTGCCGAGGTTGGTCTCAAAACTCCTGGGCTCAAGTAATCCTCCCACCTCAGCCTCCCAAAGTGTTGGGATTACAGGAGCAAGCCACTATTCCCAGCCTCCTTCTTGAATATTCTGAGGTCACTGAGTACTAAGACTCCCATCCCGAGTGCTCTGAGATGAGCTAGTGCTTGAGAGCCCATGCCCGAGGGTTCTGAGGACAGAGTGCTCTGAGCCCCTCGTGCCCAAGCGTCCTGTCTCCCCAGTGCTATGTCACCTTACGCAGGTGTTCTCAACACTCCCCCCAGCGCCTGGAGTCCCTGGGCCACTGGGGCCTCTGGAGGAGACGAATGGAGGGCAGTGAGGGCCAGCGGCCATGGCAAGGGACCGAGGGGTGTGGCTGGGAGCCCAGCGCCGTCCCAGGCCCCCTTCCCTGTGGGTGCCTGGGCCATAGGCTGGCACCCCCATCCTCCCTGGTGCCCGCTCCTCCAAACTGCCCCCGCCTTCTGCTCCCCAGGTGTTTGAGAGAAGCTCAGTGTCTTCCCTTCCCCCCACGCCCCGCCGCCAGCCGATCCCCACCTTGCTGTCCCCCCAGGACCTGGGGCCCCCCGGGGGCTCAGCCCCAGGCCCCACATGGAAGGTAATGGGCTGCCCGCCACCTCTCACGGCTCTCTCTCTGCTGCCTCCAAGCTTCCTCTCCTCACCTCTCACGCTAACCGCTAAAGCGCCAGGCACATCCCGCCACTGCCACCGTCACATGTGTGGGCCCCCCCATGCCCAGGACAGGTGCATAACCCTTCCTCCCCTCTGCCTCCAAGCTGGGATTTCCCGAGACTCCAGGCGCCCGGGTATCCGGCAACCCCCAGAGTCTGCGTTTTCTTACTGCTTGGTTTCCTGGTGGCCGGGTGTTTGGTTCTGGTTTACAGTCTGAGTTTAGGTCTGGCCCGAAGCCTGAGTGTTGTCTTCGGCCAAGGTTGAAGTTGGGACCTTGCTCTCAGATGACTTTGGGGCCGACTCAGAACCCAACCTTGTCCTGAGCCCTTGCCTAGTCCCCTCCATCCCCTCTGCTGTGCTGCCTGTGCTGGGGGAGGGGCTCTGGTTTTCCCACTGGAAATGATGCCTTGCACTGGGGGCCCGGACACCCCAGGGGGAAGCTCATCCACAGCCTCCCCCCACCCCATGGCCCATCTTGCCCCCTTGACAGGGAGCTTGGAATGGAAGAAACCCATGCCCTTCCTTGGCTGCTGGTTCTTTTGGTATTGGGAAGTTCTTCCTTCTCTCTGACTTCAGTCCCTGCTGCTGTCCTGCTGCACTCTTTTCTTCTTTATTCTTTTTTGGGAATTTGGGGGTGGACCTGCCGTCTGCACCCTTTCCCCCAGGACTGTGCTTTGGAAGGGGTGTGGGGGAGGGTGTGGGACTCTCCCCCTCTGCCTGGTCAGGTTGGGGCAAGAGGGCCTCCGCTCTGGAGAGGAGGGCAAGGCTCCTGTACACCCACACTCTCGCCCCTCCTGTCTGGTTCTCCCTGGCCCACAGTGGGCTCCATGCTGGCCGCCACCTGGTTTCTGGCCTGGCTGGAGGCCTGGAAGTGCCTTGGTTTCCCAGGGGGCGCAGGGGGCGCAGGCAGGCACCAGATAGGCGGACAGAGCCGCCTGCCAGGCGGAGGTGGGCCCAGAGCTGTCCGAGGTGTCGTCTAGGTCAGTGTGGAGGGGACACCTCCTGGGCTGACTGTGCCTTGGCACCTCGGCCACCCCGCCCAACCCCGCCCTTTTCTGGCTCTGGGAGCCCATCCTGTGGGGCCCAGAGCGCGAGGCCTTCCCCTGGCCTTTGGGGCCTGGCTGACCCGGCCTCCTGCGGCCACATCGGCAATGGAGCTGGGCGAGCGTGAGATCGCCCTCTCTCCTTCCCAGTGTGCACCCCCCGCTTTCAGGTAAGCAGGCAGCACGGCTGGGTGGGTCACCTTGGGAGGGGGCGGTTGGGTCCCTGCTGCCCCCACCCATCTCCCCATGGCTCCTTTTAGTGGAAAGAGCACTGGACTTGGAGTCCTACTGTCTGGGTTCAAATCCGGGCTCAGCCACTAACTTGCTGTTGGTGAGTGACCTTGGGTGAAGCCCGCATGCCCTCACCCTTGGTTTCCTCATCTGTAGAGTGGGGACCTGAGAGCAGTCATCCTGTCATGGGTCACGGTAGGCATTAAGGATGAGGACGGATATGGCAGCACCAGGCACAAAACTGGTGCTCAGAATGAGACCAGATACCCTCACATCGGGGGCTGGTGCTTGGGGCCTCTCGGTGCCCAGTGAGGCCAGGGCCAGAGATGCTGGCTCACTGGCAGATGCCCAAGGGGGCTTTGCCCAGTGTGTGCAGCAGAGGGACTTGGCAGAGGCCGAGCCCCACCCCTCCCTGAATTCTCCACCACTCTCACGTTGGTGGTGTCCCATTGCAGAGATGGGCACACTCTCAGGAGTAACCCTCAGACCTGCTCCCAGGGTTTCACATGGGCATAAACATGTACCTTGTGCTCTGTGTGAAGCAGCGTCTTTACTGGAAAGCTTGAGGCCACAGGGTATAGTGTGGAAGGAGACCTCAGGCCTACTCCCAGTTTTGCCGCTAACTTACTGAGTAATCTCAGGATCCTTTCTGCCTTAGTTTTCCCCACCTGTGAAAGGAAGAGGCTGGACTCACTTGACGCTAGTCCCCGCCCCAATCCCAGGATCTGGTCTGCAGGGATCACAGTCTTTCTTATCCTCCTCCTCCCTCCAGGCTGCCCCAGGTCCCAGGGCCTTCTGCATCCCCCGGATCATCCTGACAGAGTGTGCCTGCGACCCTCCCTCCCTGCTGGAGGCCAGGACAGCTCCCACCCCAAGACCCCGGACCCTGGCTGGCAGCGGGAGGGGCTGGGATGGCTACCAGGCCCCGCCGGGCCTAGTGGCTGAGCCTCTGCCCAGGAATGGCTCAGTGCTCGTGGAGAAAGGGGCAGCTCTGAAGATACTGGAGGCTGGAGGCTGCAGCCCAGAGGATGGAGGAGCCCTGGACAGGACTCGGGAGCCCTCCACTGCTGAAACCCACCCAGAGGAGACTTCCAAGGACTCTGGACACGATGCTCAAGTCTGCACTGGGGAGCACCGGGGCCAGCCTGTTGGGGGCTCCGGCTGCATTGCACGGGGCGCCTCCACCCAGCGAATGGATAGCCTGGAGGAGACACTCCGAGAGCTGGAAGCCACCCTGAGCGAGATGGGCTCAGGCCCTGGCAGCCCCCCACCCCCACCCCCTGGCCCGCAGGTGGCTGCCTCCTCCCCATCCTCCCCTGCTGCTGCCTTCAAGGTCCAGACTTCAGAGTTGGGGGAGTGGGGGCTGGGGGTGGCTGCAGGGGTGCCATGCCAGCTCCTCCTGCTGGCCTTCTCTCAGCTCCTACCACCCTTCCGGGAGCCTGGTGCCAGGCTGGGGTTCGCAGGCAGAGCCCAGGGGAGGCTGGGAAGCCAGCCTCCCCAAGGGTCAGCCCTCCCAGTCTGCGCAATAACTGGGGCCTGTCCCCTTCTGCTCTGTATCTTACCCTGCAAATAAAGTTCTCTCCCCGCTTTCCATCCCCAGCTCCCCTCCACTCTCCTGTCTCCGACTCTCTGTCTCTGTCATTTTCCGCTCGTGCCTCTGGAGCCCCATTGCCCCCTGGGCAGGCCTGGTGCCTGGGGAGGTTCAGGGGTACCAGTGTGCCCATCTCTAGGGAGACTTCACGGCCATCCTCCCTCCAGGAGGAAGACATGGCCTAGGGCTGCCACGCTGCTCTGTCTTCTGTTCTAGAGAACTCCGCATCCCCCAGCCTGCGTGGGGCTGGTACAGGGACCCTTGTTTTAGAAAAGGCTCCCCCAGGAGGGCACCGGCTGCCCAGAGCTCCTCAAGGAAACCACCAGAGTTCTCCCTGTCTGGCCCTGCTTCCCTCCTGCAGAGACTGGGCTGACTGGGACTTGGATGTGGAACCAGGGAGGGGTCTCCAGGTCTCCAAGGGCCTGCTGGGGCAGTCCTGGCCCTTGAGATCCCACCCAGCTCCAGGGTTCCAGTGTAACCCACCTCCACATGGCCCCTCCAGCCCAATCCTGTTCCTCTTTCTGCAGAGTGGCGGAGGCAGCGTGCCACCCATGAAGGTGGTAACTCCGGGGGCCTCACGACTGAAGGCGGTCCAGGGCCAGGCTGGCAGCCCTGACAAAGGCAAGCATGGCAAGCAGAGGGCCGAGTACATGAGGATCCAGGCCCAGCAGGTGAGGGCCGGGGTTGGGAGCGGGAGGTGGGGGAGCCCGCCCAGAGCCCCTAGTGCTGTGTGCTGGGCTCTCCTGGTTTGGCACTTCCTGCCGCTACTCCCAGGACCCCTGCCAGTTGCCCAGAGAGACCCTCCCCACCAGGACCGCCCCACCGGTCCTCCCAGCTGGCTTCTCTCTCCCCCTCCCAGTTCCAGTGCTTTGGATCTGGGGAGAACTTGAATTCTCAGCCAGCCCTCCCTTCTCAGGAGTCCCCCTGCCCTCTGGGGGCAAAGAAAACCATCTCCCAGCTGCGCATCCCTTGCTCCTGGCAGGGATGAGGAGCATATTCCTGACTCTGCCAGCCCTCACGTCCAGTCCCTTCTTAGGCTGGCCCATCCTGGGGTGCAGAGGGGGAGTCGTCTAGCCTCCGTCTTCCTGCTCCTCCACTCTTTTCTGCCTCCTCCTTCAAGTTCGCTCAGCCTCCCTCTTAGCTCTTTGGCCATCCCCCCCACCGAGGTGGGAGCCAGTTCTGCATCTGCCTGTCAGTCTTGTGTTTGGGTTTCAATGGCTTCACTGCTGATCTCTGTAAGGTGGGCAGAGGGCGTGGCACCCCTTTGGGCTTTAATGAGCAGCCTTGGGCGTGCTGTGCAGACAGACCTCACCTGTGGCTCTTGCTGCTGTGGCCTGGTCAGAGGGTGCTGGGGAATCCCTGATCCTTGGGCCTTGATGCTTGGTGCTCTTGTTGGTTCAGTAAATATCTCTGAGCAGCTCCTGGGGCCAGGCCATTCTGGGTAAGGGTGGGGGCCGTGGTGGGCCTGATGCTCCCACTTAGAGAAAGTTCTAGGCTCAGAGGTGTGAGGTTAGAGATGGGTGAGATGAGGGAACGGCTCAGACAAGGAAAGGAACTTACCAAAGTGCACAGCAAGGGCATGAGCTCTAGGACCAAGACCCAGGTGTCCCAACTATCTATGGAAGCCCCACCTTCCCCCCAACCCCCCACCCCTCCTCTTACCAGCTCCCTACTTCCTCCTCATGGTCCCCAGATGCCCCGCACATCCCACCCCCGCTCTTTTCCTGCCACTGCAATGGCTGAGTTCCCCTGTCCAGTCCAGGCTAGTCTCTCCTTGGTGCCCAGGAGAGCAGCTAAACTTGATGGGTGTTCACCTGAGCCACGTGCACTACCTAATCTCACATTTGCCACCCTGAGGCAGGCAGGTCCTCGCCATCCCCATGGGATAGGTGGGGAAACTGAGGCTTCACCCAGGGTCACGGTTAGCAAGTGGGGAAGCAAGGTGCAAGTCAAGATGGCCTCCCCTCCCCCAGCCAGTGTGTCAGACTCTCCAGCAGCCCCTCAGCTGTGAGGAGGCTCTGAGGGCTCCCACCCTCACCCCATGCGCCCCAGAGCCCAGCTCCTCTGCTATGGCCTGTCCTCCATGCTGCCTCTGTGCCCCAGCCTCCATTTGTTCTTCAGTGCCTCTGGCTCTCCTCATTGCGCCCCCCCCCCAAGTTTGCCTAGGTCTCCAGATGGGTTCCTTCCACCTTCCTTGCCCACCTCTGCAGCGTTGGCCATGTAGACCCCCGCACTGTGCAGACCCCTCCTTGGCATCTCTCCTCAGCCCCACCCGAGCCCCTCCCTGGGCGCCTGCCCCCTTACCACCTCTGCTCTTCTCTGGGCCCAGTCCCCAGCTCTCTTCTCATGCCACACCCTCTGCTCCTTGGGTACCAGACACCACCCAGTCTCTGTTTTGGGCTCCAGCTGCCCACACACCCTTCCCCTCCACACCTCCCCTCTGCTTGCTGCGCCTCTCATTCCCAGGGTTCCAGTAGCCCTTCTGGAAACACCTCTTCTTCCTGGTAAAGTAACACGTTTCTGCGGACATTTTATTTTTATTTATTTATTTATTTATTTTTGAGTTGGAGTCTCACTCTGTCGCTAAGACTGGAGTACAGTGGCCGCTCCCGGCCACCGCAGCCTCGACCTGCTGGGCTCTGGCGATCCTTCCGCCTCAGCCTTCCAAGTAGCCGGAATTATAGGCACACACTACCACGCCCGGCTGATTTTTTGATTTATTGTAGAGATGAGGTCTCGCCTGCCCAGGTGGGTCTCGAACCCACAGGCTTAGGCAATCCTACTCACCTCAGCCTCCCAAAGGCGTGGGATTACAGGCTGAGCCACCGAGCCCAGCTTCTGCAGAAATTTTTGAAAGTATAAAGAAGCAGAGGGCAAGCATTCATGTCTCACCACTCACATGCAAGGTCTTCTTAGGTTGCCTTGTGACTTCTGTCTCCTCCAACTTATTTTATTCTAAGACCAGCTAGATGGGGAGGCATCTTTGTAAAATGCAGATTATCTTTCTCTTGCTCTCATTCTTTCTCACACACACAGACACGCACGTGTGCACACCTGCTGGCTTAAAACTAGTGACCCCGGTCCTTGCTGGGCGATAAGCCTGAACCCTATTCGGACTGCCCAGGGCCCTTCAGGTCAGCCTTGGTTCCCTCCACCCGTTTCTCCTGTTCCTCTCCACTCTCCATCCTCCATGTGCTCTAGCCACCTGGGTCTCCTGGCCAGGACACGCCCCACACCAGCTAGCCTGTGGCCTTGGTCAAAAGTCCTCTGTCTTTCCAGGCTCTTTTCTCATCTATACGGTAGACAAAAATACCAGCAGGGTTCTGAGGTCACACAATAATGTCAGATGCAGGAAAGAGCTTCAAGAACCACAAAGTGCTCTTCAAAAGCAGGGAGTCCCACCACCATTGGATGGATTGTGTGCTTGTCAGGGTCAAGGGCGGTTCCTGAGGCCTCTTATCATGAGTCTAACACTTGAGGCTCAAAGCTGCCTCTGTGGAAGATAAGGTGGGAGGGACTAGATGCACCCGGATCAGAGACATAGAAATTGGGGGGAAGAGAGTTCCAAGATGGGGGTGCATTGCGGCAGGGCCTGACACTAAGGAGAAGTAGGAGGAAGTGATTGAGAAAAAGCCCTTGAATGTTGTGCCTAAGATCCAGGGTGGGACAGGAGCCAGATTCCCAGGGGTGCAGGGACCGAGGACTTGGTGTTGACATGAACACAGACATGCCTTCTGTTAGTGCTAACAACATCTACCGTATCTTCTCAGAGGACTTCAAGAAGAGATGTGAGGGAGGAAACCATACCAGATGGTTGAGGAAGCCAAGAGGGGATGTCGAGGCACACAGGGACTAGGAGGGTGCGGTGGCTCACACCTGTCATCCCAGCACTTTGGGAGGCTGAGGCGAGAGGACTGCCTGAGCCCAGGGATTCAACACCAGCCTGGGCAACTTGGCAAGACCTCGTCTCTACAATAAATCAAAAAATCAGCTGGGCATGGTGTCATGTGCCTGTGCTTCCAGGTACTTGGAAAGCTGAGGTGGAAGGATCACCTGAGCCCAGCAGGTTGAGGCTGTGGTGGCTGTGAGTGTGCCACTACACTCCAGCCTGGGTGACAGAGTGAGGAGTGAGACTCTGACTCAAAAAAAAAAAAAAAAAAAAGAGCAGGAGGCTGAGACCTCCCCGGGGAGCAGGCAGGCAAGGGGGCCTCGTGTTTAGGGAGGGAGGTAGAGAGGCAGGAAGGAATTTGACTCCACTTCTCCCTTTTCCACCCTGCTGTGATCCCACTGGCCCAAAGCAGCCAGAGGCCCAACAGCAAAGGAGTCAAAGGGTCTGTCTTCCAAGGACAGAGCAGGGCAGAAGTTGGTTCTGGGACATGGGAAAAACAGCCAGCACACCCACCAGGTGCCAAGTTTATGTATCTTGTTTAATCTCTATAGCAACTTGATTCTTATAGTGAACTTGTGCTGTCATGGCTGCATGCTAGAATTGTGCTTGGCATGCACAGGTGCTCCGTTAATATTTGTTGGGTGGGTGAGTGGGTGAATGAGGCCCAGTCCAGGTGGACATAGACAGAGTCAGCCTCAGAAGTTGAGATAACCCCAGCCATGGCTCCGTCTGTGACGTGCACTGAGTGTCGTGCGCTGGGCTGCACCCTGTTTGCATCATGTCATAGGCCTCTGATGCCATAGCCCCATTTGCAGGTGAGGGCATGGAGGCCCAGAGAAACACCCAAGTAGATTCACACAGTTAAAAAGAGGCAGAGGCCACGGACGTTGTAGTCACACCTGTAATCCCAGCTCTTTGGGAGGCCAAGGGGGGAGGGTCACTGGAGCCAGGCGTGTGAGACCAGCCTAGGCAACGTAGTAAGACCTTGTCTCTATTTTTAAAAATCCAGAAACTAGCTGGGTGTGGTGGCATGCACCTGTAGTCCCAGCTCCTCGGGAGGCTGAGGCAGGAGGATCACTTGAACCCAGGAGGTCGAGGCTGTGGTGAGCCATGATCATGCCACTGCACTCCAGCCTGGGTAGCAGAGTGAGACCTCAACTTTATTATCATTATTATTATTATTTGGAGTTGGAATCTCACTCCGCCGCCCAGACTGGAGTACAGTGGCACGATCCCGGCCACCGCAGCCTCAACCTGCTGGGCTCCGGTGATCCTTCTGCCTCAGCCTTCCAACTAGCTGGAACTACAGGTGCGCGCTACCACGCCCAACTAATTTTTTATTTATTGTAGAGATGAGGTCTCGCCAGGTTGCCCCGGCGGGTCTCGAACCCTCAG